CTCTCCGTGCCCCCGCGCAGCCAGGCCAGGGGCTTCTCCAAGGGCTTTCTCCCAGGCCAGTCCCACCGACCACCCCACAATGCTGGGTCTCCCCCCGCTCGGCCTCGCCAAGCCCTGCCAGGTCCCCTCTCCCTGTCCCACCGGCGCTACCAGAGCAGCCGCTGCACCTGCTCAGGCCATGGGCATGGCATGGGCCATGGGCATGGGACCGTGGCCTTCTGCGGGTTTGCAGGCGGGATTATCCAGCAAAAAACGTGTGCTCGCCTCGGAGACGCTCAGCAAGGCTGGTGCATCCCATCATGGGAGGGAGGGGACAGGGCGCGAGACAGCGAGCCCGTGTGGCACAGGCTGCAGGGACGCAGGGGACCCCTCGTGTGCACGCTCGAGCTGGCCCCAAGTGCCGGATTTCTCCCCCACGGCCTCCCCACTCCTGTGCGCACACAGCCCGGGGTTGCCCACGCTGTAAATTCAGCTGTTATTAGCTGTGTTTGTAGGCAAAGAGGCTGAAAAAAGGAAAAGCTCTTGGGGAAAAGAGATCGACAAAGGGGATCGCTTCCCCCTCTTTATTTATGCCTGTGCTGCTGCGTGCAGCATAACGACAGCACTCAATACCCCGGAGAGCCAATTACTGCAAGGAGCGAAGCCAGAGCCAAAGCCGGCTGCTCTCGACTTAATTTCCTTAATACAGTCACATCGTCTTGGAAGAGCACTGCTGCTCCGGGGACGCTACAAAGCTGGTTCACAGCACGAGTCCTCTGCCCAGGAGACGGCAGGAGCAGCCAGGGCGAAGGAAGTCGGGAGCAGCGCTCCCATCGCGGGAGCCCAAGGGCACCTTCGGGCCTCTGCTTCCTGCAGGCAGCGAGAAGGGGGCTGCCGCCTGGGAAAGCGGGACGCACGCGGGGTGACCTCCACTAAGCGCCCACACAACATTTTATCAGGTTTTTATTCTAAGCTCAGGAACGTTCTTCAAGAAAAAACAATATGACCCCCTGACAAGATATACAAGTCGCAGCCCCAACATTAAGTGACGCTGGGGGGAGCCACAGGAGAGGGAGGTGGTTTAGAAGGAGCTCAGGAGCCTGGGCCACGCAGATCTCATCCCTTCCTCCAGGCACCCGGGAGGCCGGGCCCTCACCCTGCCCCTCCACGCTGTTTGGCGCATGGCAGCCCTGAATCCAGCTAGGCACAGCCTGCAGGGGAGAAGGACCCTGGCAGGCCCGAGCCTTGTGCATGGGACTAATTGCACGGAAATACAATCCTATAAACCCCTTATGCAAAGGGCAAGGGAGCAAATCCCACAGCTGAGCAACCCCTCTCCGTGCGTCCCCAGAACAGCCCCGGGCCTACGCTGGGCTCAGCTCTGCTGAGCGACTCAGCATGGCCAAGCCCAGAGAGCCAACACCAGTCACGGCAGGTCGCGCAGGTAATGAGCGCCCTCTTCTACCCCAGCCCCATCGTGGTCCCGACGACAGCCCTTGCCCCGCTGCCTGCCTGTAGGGTTTTGCTGCCACCCCGGGGGTGGAAGACAACAGGACTACATGGGAGAGAGGGTGCAAGGTGGGGCCAGGAATTACATAAGTCTCTTACGTCTCCTCTCATGTAAATTTAAGGCTTTGCTGTTGGTGCTTTGTAAATCCAGCGGCCATAGGGGCCACGGGCACAGCCACGCAGAAGCTGATCTCAGCCACTGCCCACGCCCACC